CAGGGTTAACAAAACATAAGCTTTCCTTAACATTAGCAACACAATAACATTGGCTGGCCCAGCCCTGGTTGCTTCAGAAAAGAAGGTCCCTTCTGCTCTTTGAAAGAGCCTGCCTGGGGGAAGAGCAGCTGTCCTCTGGTCCAGCTGTCTGTTGTACCTGCAAAAGAAACACATGCTGTCCCGCGCCCCCGCCCCCCTGAAAAGCACCTGTCTCCAGTTCCCAGAGGCAGCCCCCCTTGTGCTGATAACTGAAACAACCCTTGGTGTATCACCCGCCCAGCCCCAGGCTCTTTTCTCAGTTAACTCTCCCTAGAGCCTTGCCAGACTGACACCCTGCCCTCCTAGGCAAGTCTCCCTTACAACCCTTTCCCTTTCCATGGGTCTCTCTGCCTCACAGTGGGGAAGGATACCCGAGCTGTCTTCCGCCCATCACCAATCACAGCTTTTATTCACAGCAACAGCAACAGCAGGCTGACAGCATGGCTCTTGACCCAGGGCGCCCCTCACTCCCAACTGCTGTTTCCAGGCCAGGCTGCGCCTGGTGTGCCCCCACCCATACCCTCCATTTCGGGGCCAGGCCAGGCCCAGTGTGCCTTCCCCACCCTCCCTACTACCGTTGTGGGGCCATCACCGAGCCGGCCCCCACTCCCCACCACACACCTTCCCTGACACCATTTCAGGGCCTATAATGATCTAATTAGCACACATTCTTCCAGCAGGGGCTCATTGTAATTCCCATTCCTTTGAAGATTTTTGTAAATATTTTAGTACAGCTAAAAACTGAAATTTCCAACTTCTGTATATCTTTGCCCTTAAAATCTAATAAATAACAAAACCTAATACAGTTTCTACTAACAAAAACCTGTAAAAGAATCAGTATTAAACTCAGAACAAAAAATACTCAATTCACTTGCAAGGAGAAGACATCATCATCCTATCTCTACTCAAAAGCCTCAACACACTGTGAACTGCCAACAACAATGTTGGTGGTGCCTTTTCATAGCGGGTGCAACATCACATCATCACCCCTATGCATTGCTAGTGCCCCACCCCTCACCACTGTGGCGGGCTGGCTTCTCCCTCCCCCCTGCCACCACTGTGTCAGCCCAGGCCCGCTGCTCCACCACCACGTTGGGAGGGAGCAGCGCGGGAAAGAGAGAATACCTTCTGTATCTGCTGCCTGCAGGGAGCAGGGTAGGGGGTAGGGCGAGGCCATTGTTGCTGGGTTTGCCCCCCCCCCACCGCAGCATCTCAGCCCCACTCCCCCCTGTGCCACCATCGCCCCCTTCAAGAAGCAAGGGGGAGGGGGGCAAGGCCTCGCTCCCCCGTTCCGTCTGCTCCATTACCGCTGCCTCCAGGGAGCAGGGAGCTCCCCCGCTCTGTCCCGTGTCCCCGCCATCGTGGCAGTGCTCCACCACCTCCAATCCGAACACTGTATTCGCACTCTGATTGGCTGTTTCCATCCCCCAATCAGAGTGCGAATAAAGCGTTATGGACAGACGGACAGAATACAGCTTTTATTCTAATATTATAAAAGCCTACGTCTGTCTGTCTGTCTGCAACACTTTATTCGCGCTCTGACTGGCTGATGGAAACAGCCAATCATAGTGTTCCAAGCATGGGAGAGCACCGCCATGATTCCAAAGCGGCACCGAGGACCAGAAAGAGGGTGGGGCAGCCTGGGCAGCAGCACTGGTCTTGCTCCCCCACCCCGCTGCCTACAAAGGGCAGAACAGCAGGAGCATGGGGTGTTAGGTGGCGGCACCCCATTGCAGCCCCCTCCTTCCCACTCCCCAGTTTTATTCTTGATGGGCAGTTGTCTAGTAATATTAGAATACCTCAGCTAAGGAAAGGATAGACCAAAGGGACAGAGGCATGGAGAGAATAGGTGACTCTGCTAGGGTCAACTGAGACTTTCAGCCCAGATTAAGATTTGTTTGAATTTTTACTGTAATTTTTATGGCTTTTAGATAAACACAAATCTTTTGCAGAAGAGTTTGAGCCATAGAATGGAAAATGTCACTATTTGGGGGTAACTTACACTTGAATCCTGAACATATGGGGTTGGCAATACAATGCTCTGACAACCTGATCCAGAGGTAGTGGTTCTCTCACATATCTTGCTTTCTGGTTTTGTTGCTGTCCCTTAGCACAGTGATGGTATTGGGGAAGGCTTTTGTTAGGCAGTTTATGTATGAGTTCCCCTTTGTTTAGTTTAGTTTCTTAAGACTGTTGCATAGTTTGAAGCATCCACAATTGTTTGAACTGAAAACCTTCCAGAAGGCATGAACTTTTCAACCTTCTAGGATGTAATGAGTTTTAGTTCTCAAATCTGCACAGGGACGCATGCGCTCATCGCAGTAAAAGTTTAGTGAGCATGCCAAGCAAGTGAGTGTTTGGACAAGGACAGTGACAAAAGCCATAACAATTGCCTCTGTGTGCTATAAATATTCCCTTTCCCCTCACTGTTTCAAAGGAGTCATTCTAATTGCTTCTCCTGGGAACTCCCTGAGACATGCTGACTCTAGAGGCCCTTTCAGGTGTCTCCTCCACTCATGACACACTGGTATAAATCACCTATGTTCTTCATCAAAATGGAAACCTTCTGGAGTCAGGACATGCACCTTCCCTTCCACAGGTAAGTCTGGTTTCTCTGGGCTACAAGAAGGATGTGTCTATGCTATGAGATCCTGTTTGGAAGATCTGTATGTTTAGGGACATTAGCCAAGCCCCTTCGCCCTCACACTCTGTGCCTGTTTATCACACCTAGCATGCTGCAGGCCTTACATGGATTTAATTTGTTCCCTTCTCCATGCAGGAGGTGGCTTGTAAAGGGAAGGCATTCAGAGGATCCCACAGTGCCTTACACGCTTGGCCAGAGCCACCAGTGAGATCTGAAAAGTGAGACCAGCATCTCTAGCAGGCACTTTATGAGCATGTAATGGATGTAGTGAGAGCTCACACCCAGCTTCAGTGTTACAGTTGGTTTTACCAAGAGATGGGTGCCGGATGGGATACCCGAGTTATCTCAGTTGTGTTCAAAGGATGCTCTGTGATCTCACAGCTGGATCAGTGCACTGTGGAAATGCAAAAGAAGAGAGCATAGATCTTTGCAGATGTACAGTAATTCATGGTCGGGTATGCTCTCCCAACAGCCCCAAGAGAGTGCCTTGCTACGTTGCCAGCCTGGGGCACCCAAAAGAAGAGAGCACAGGGGCCCTAGAGTTCATGTCTTCTCCACATTTTGGCTTTTCTGTGGGAAACTAATCTGATCACTGCCCCTGAACTTCATGGTGTGTTTCCCAACCAGGAGTACAGGTCACATTGTAAATGATCTTTCTTAAATATATTTTACAGCTTTATTGCATCTGCGTGGCTCACTGTGTAGCTGTCACAGAAGGGCGGCAGAGAAAGGCAGGGTAGGACTCAGTGGGATGTGAAGTGGATGGTAGGGCCTGCTGGGGGGTTAGGGCACAGTGGACTGGAGCTGAGTAGGGGGGAGATATGTGGGATTATGTGGGGCAGAGTGGTGCCAGGGGTGCTGGGACAATGCATAAATGGCAGTGAAGGAAACTTTGGAGC